CTGTAGACGCTGCTGTTTAGCCATGCAGCTAGAAACATATTTCAGTGCTAAATTCTAAGAGCAATGGAGTGTGCTTACCGAGACAAATAAATCTCGGTCCACGTCCACGTTTGCATAATAAAACTCGACGGATAGGCCTGTTTCTGAAATCCAGCATATCGTGACCGCCTAGGGGACGTTGTAACCAGTAATTTCACCCCGGCACGACTCCGCTTTACTACTGTCTGACTCTCGTTGCAGTCATATAGGAACAGTGTCTCGCTGGCTCGTTGTACAATCAGATGATTATCGGTACGTTTGAACAAATCCAGTGGAAGTCGGTAAACACCTTCGTCCTGGAATAAATAACACTTGTCCGGGTCGTACATCAAAACCGTCCGTTTCTTCTCAGTAAGTCGACACAAAAGACAGTAGGTCAGATATACAGTTTTTCCTGGTTGTGGCATAAGTTTCCTGTGTCTAATTGTTGTAAAAAGGATGTACGAACCTATGCCAGGTTGTCCGATTAGCAATATGTGATCATTCTTATGTTCTGCGACGAATTCATCAAGCTTTTCGTACTCGTCCCGGATCATAAAGTGCGTCGCGAACGGTAAAATTTTATCGCTTGTCTGATATTCAGCGTGCCAAAACGGCAGGAGTGTCAGATCGAAAAAAGTAACAGGGACTAATTCCTCGTCCGACACTGATCCCTCGTCCGACACTGATCCCTCATCCGGCACCTTTTCTTTCGTCTCTCTACGGATCGTCGACAATAGATCTTCTCGACCCCAGAGATAGTTGTATATATTGAATAACAGTCCAGACTCAATGTCTTCTTCCTTTTCCCCAAGCTTTTTAATAGACCTGTCTTCAAGTGTATGTAAGGACTGCATACTTGCCAACAACAAATTTGTCCTAACGTACCACCTGCCTCAGAGGGTTCTTCTTCAGTAGGATGCGAGCGTTTGGCCGGAACGACCGCTGCACATATAGATTAGTCAAACTTGTGAGGAACCGGCCAAATCTTGTGGACGGGCAGAGAACAAAATACGTACTTGATTCAGCCACAACTACAATATCAATTTTTTTCTCCTCCCTACGTGCAGGCCCGCTGGGAAAATAGTCCGCAAGAGAAAGTGCAGGCTGCATTGGATTACGCGGTGGATCTTTGCGAAGCCAATCCCAGGCACGTTCACGAAGTTTCTCTGATGGCTCAATATCTAGATTGTCAGGCTGCATGATAATCAGTATGACAAAAAATAGGATATGTTGGAGAAAGACCTTGTATAGCGTTAGCGTCGAGTGCTCCAGGGCACCTTTGTAGCGCGGATGGTCATGAATTTCTCGCCATAAAGCATCAACATCTGCATCCCCCGGCATGAAAAAAGGACAGGTATCGGCATTGTCATTGTTTTTGTTTAGTACGCAGATCACGTAACGGTGCTTAATTAGACTTGAGGAGGACATGGCGGATGATGGTGGATGAGAAACAATGTGCTGGCGCTCGACAAAGCGTCATTAGGGCCCGTGACTCCGGTAACAAAATCACGTGCACACACAATCCTTAAACCTTCACATGGATGTGACAGGTTGGTTGAGTTTATGTTTTCCCAACCTTTAGAGTGAAAAAGGAGACTATATGCATGGCTCAGGATTGGGAAATGTATGTGCTAAGAGTATAAGTATGAGTGTTAGTATTAGTATAAGTAAATAAGTAGATTAAGAAGATAAACATACTAGAACAGTATAAAGTAAGTATAAGTAGTATACTAGGGTTAAGATTCAGAGTGTTAAACAAGCTGATTTAGACTATAAGTAAAGCTGTGTTTATATGTATACATTATATACTCTAACTATATTTTACAACTAGAAATATAATAGACTAAGTAATTATAAATAGTTGTAAAAGTGTATTTCTAAAAGGTTCTAACTTAAAGAGAGAAAGTAAAGTAGAGAGTATAGACAGACTTAGTAAAGGGTGAGTAGTTAGTTACTACTTCTATTATTTGAAACAGTTTTATAAACAATACTAAAGAATGTAAAAGTATGTTAAGTATAGAATAGTAAGTAAGAAAAGAGAGTATGTATAGTGTTAAAGACAGGGTAGTACTATAAGAGTAGTTATACTTAGACATTATTACAAACATACTTGTAAGTTATTACTTGTACTATAAATTAGTAAGAAGTATGTAAATGTATAAAGTTATTAAAGAAGTTGTTTAGTATTAGTTAATAATATAAATATGAATAAAAAATAAAAGTAAGTATAAGAAAAGAAGGACAACAACAGAGAGACAATACAAGTAGTAGAATAAGGAGTAGAAGGGATGAAAGAGAGACAAGAAGTTAGGAGAAGAGAGATGAGTAACTATTATACAAGTTATTATAAAGTAGACTAACTACTTACACTTTATATTAAATAGTAAAATGTTAGTACTATACTAACATAGTATTACTAAAATGTTTTAGCTTAAAGAGAGAGAGTAGAATAGAAGGTGTAGATAGACTTGACTTAGAAGGAGTAAGTAGTAGTATGTTAGTATAGTACTAACATTAAAAAGGTTTAAAGAGAGAGAGTAAAGTAGAAAGTATAAACAAACACAGTTTAGAAAGAGTAAGTGTTAATATGTTAGTATAGTACTAACATTAAGATAGTTTAAAAGGAGAGAGTAAAGTAGAAGGTATGAACAGACTTAGCTTAGAAGAAGTAAATAGTAATATGTTAATATAGTACTAATATTAAGATAACTTAAAGAGAGAGAATAAAGTAGAAAGTGTGAACAAACTTAGTTTAAAAAGAGTATGTAATAGTATATTAGTATAGTACTAACATTAAGATAGTTTAAAGGAAGAGGATAAAGTAGAAAGTGTAGACAGACTTAGTTTAGAAAAGGTAAGTAATAGTATGTTAGTATAGTATTAATATTAAGATAGTTTAAAGAGAGAGTAGAAAGTAGAAAGTATAGACAGACTTAGTTTAGAAAGAGTAAGTAGTAGTATGTTAGTATAACACTAACATTAAGATAGCTTAAAGGGAGAGAATAAAGTAGAAAGTGTAAACAGACTTAACTTAGAAAGAGTAAATAGTAGTATGTTAGTATAGTACTAATATTAAGATAGTTTAAAGAGAGAGAGTAAAGTAGAAAGTATAGACAGACTTAGCTTAAAAGGAGTAAAGAATAGTATGTTAATATAATACTAACATTAAAATAGTTTAAAGAGAGAGAATAAAGTAGAAAGTGTAGACAAACTTAGTTTAGAAAGAGTAAGTAATAGTATGTTAGTATAGTACTAATATTAAAATAGTTCAAAGAGAGAGAATAAAGTAGAAAGTGTAGACAAATTAGCTCAGAAGAAGTAAGAGATAGTATATTAGTATAGTACTAACATAAATTATAGGAAACATATACATTATATACTTTAATATTAACACTATACTAAAACATCTTTCTAAAACATTTTAACTTAAAGAGAGTAAGTAAAGTAGTTATACTACTCTTTACACTACTCTCTATACTTCTCTCTATACTTTTACCTTCTTACACCTTCCTTATACTACTACTCACACCTTTCTAAAAAAATATTAATAATGTTTACTAACACTTATAACACTTGTATAACTTAAGCTTAACCTTATGTATAATAATTATTTAAAAAAGTAAAATAGTTTTACTAATATTAAAATTATGTTTAGAAAGATTAGAACCTTACTAATAATAAAAAAGTGTTTAGAAAGACAAGTGGAACTTTACTAATACATATTATAATAAAAACTATTTTATTAATATTATAAAAAAAGTAAAACAGTATTAGTAAAATACTAAATACTAAACTTAAAAATTGTAAAATATATAAAAACTAATAAAATAAAAGTATCTTTATTATAGTTAGAAATACAAACTAATACATATACTAACAAAGGACTTACCTTTATTATAGTCAGAAATACAAACTAATATAATAAAGACAAAGAATACTAATTATATATACTAAGAAAATAGTTTATACTTAAAAGAGAAAATAAAAGAGGAACAAAAAAAGGAGAACATAATATATACTTAAAAGGAAAGATAAAAGAGAATAGTATGTATTTAAGAATGTAGAGAAGATAGTTATAATAAAAAGAGAACTTAATACAAGTATATAGAAAAAGTATATAACTTAATAAGCTATTATAAGAATCTGTATATAAAATCTATAGTTTTATATTATAAAACTGTGTAGAAACTATTATAAACTATTAAACAAACTTATACTCCTTCCTTCTCTAGAAAAATAGTAGTCTTATAAAGATACAAAGTTAACTAGACTTATAGAACTTTAGAGACTAACTTTTAAAACTCTAACTGTGTTTTCTATTCTTATTCTTATTTACCTTATTTTACTTATTTTACTAAATATTATTAACTTTAACTCTTATACTTTATATTTATAATATATAATACTTTGTAAACCTTCTCCTCTTCTTTTACTAGACTTAGTTAATTAAGAGTATGTTATAAAAAGAGTATATTATTATTTAAAATATAATACTTAAGTTAGTTTGTATAAAATTCTAAAAAAGTCTAATTAGAGTTAAGTAACTTTAGAGTATAGTCTAACTTGTTTAAGTTTGTTATAATAATAAAGTACAGTCTATTATAGTAAGGTATGAATTTTATAGTATATTCTAGTGTTTGTACAAGATATTTCTAATAGTAATTATAAGTAAAGAGTATAACTTAGTCTTCTACTATAAAACAATCTTTTATAACACAGTCTTAATTTGTATAATATACTTAATAGGTTTTAACTATTAAAAGAGTGTTTTATACCTTTATAACATTTTAATATATATAAACTAGAAATTCTAATACTTGTACTTCTAAAGAATTTACTTACAATTGTTCTAGTTGTATAAATAGTAAAACTGTTTATAGTAAGTATTTATAATATAGTTAGAATAGAGAATATTCTATAAAAGTGTTTACTATATTTATAATATAGAATCAGACTTATAAGAGTTAAACCTACTAACTCTATTATTAGTAATTAATATAAAAGTATAATAACTAACTTACTATCTTATTAGTATACTTACTTACTCTATTTGTGTTACAGTTCTCTACTCTTACACCTTCAGTTCTAATAGTTCTACACTCTTCTGTACTAGAACTTAGGACTTCTGTCTCTCAGGAGTACTGTTTATAAACTATATATAGACTGACTCTTATTACTACCCCTCCTTAC